TGGTGGAAGGATAATACACCATTTGTTTAATTGCATTGAGATGACTAGCAATCTGGCTAATCTTTATAGACCGTTCCAGACAGAATGTAAGTTACCCAAATAAACGCAAGTATTGCTGTCACGGGATGACACAAAGCACGTACAAACCGTTGCTCACTTGTGAACGTGCTTCCTTGTCACGTATTTGAAGCGTGTCTCAATGCACTTTCATCTGTCTGTGTTTGCTGAAAATCAGCCTGCTAACAACAATGAAATCACCCTCAGCAGCAGTGCTAAAAACAACGTGAAGGAAGACACTATTACTGTACGCTCAAATCAGCACGTTCAAAATAAAAGCCTTGAGGCTTTGTTTTATTTATTTTTATTTTATTTTTTTTAAGTCACACACAAGTGTGTGTGTGTGTGTGTGTTTTAAGTGCACACACTGAATGCACAGTAGTAATTTAGCATTTGCATTAAATACTGTATAGACTATAGAACAATTATATATAAAACAATAGTGGATTTAACATTAAAAGTTAACATCTAATGTTAAAATATGTTTTTAACCTTCTCCCTTGAAATACTTTGGTCAGTTCAAGAATAATTTATGAAATGGATGAGTAATTACTACAGTAATCTAATGACACTGTTCAAGTAGCTTACCCAACTGTGTATAGTAATAGCAAATAACTGATGAAACATCTGGGTGAAACATTTTCTTGAGGCTTTGTTTTATTTATTTTTATTTTATTTTTTTTAAGTCACGCACAAGTGTGTGTGTGTGTGTGTGTGTTTTAAGTGCACACACTGAATGCACAGTAGTAATTTAGCATTTGCATTAAATACTGTATAGACTATAGAACAATTATATATAAAACAATAGTGGATTTAACATTAAAAGTTAACATCTAATGTTAAAATATGTTTTTAACCTTCTCCCTTGAAATACTTTGGTCAGTTCAAGAATAATTTATGAAATGGATGAGTAATTACTACAGTAATCTAATGACACTGTTCAAGTAGCTTACCCAACTGTGTATAGTAATAGCAAATAACTGATGAAACATCTGGGTGAAACATTTTCAGTCCAAATAACCATTGTTTCAAAACACAAGATATTTGTAATATGTAATGAGAACAATTTTGGTTTAATTACAGAAACACAACAGTACGATCTTCTTTCAATTTAGTACTAGCCTACTCCAGTGTGTCAGATGAGGAATGACACAGACACGAGGTGTTGTGTAGATTACTTTGCTGCTGATACAGTAAATGGTGTTGCTGTACCTATGGCACAGTCTGTAGTTTCGCCCTGTCACACTGACACAGTAATTTGTTAGTCTCTTCCATGGCAACGTCTCTGTTTACAGTTCCACATGGCATACTGTAGCCTAATGTAAAATGCTGTATTTGATGCTATCCGTCTGCCTCCTTTGGATGCTTTGGATTTCTATTCTCTTCACAAATTGCAATATATATATATAAATTGCAATCTCTCTCTCTCTCTCTCTCTCACACACACACACACACACACACACACACACACACACAATAATTCAATAATTTATTATACGTAGTTATCCATTTCAGGAACCATGCAGTTCTACAGAATCTATAAGTATAGAAATTTATAGACTAACCAAATGATTCACTGATTAACCATTAAGATCAGTCAGACAAATGTATTAAACTGAATGAGAAGAAAACCAAATGAAAGTTTAATAGAATTAGCAGTTACTGTGAGTGAAAAGTAGATGAGACACTTACTTTGTATTGTGAACGGGATACTTTGTGATTTTGTATTTTGAACTATCGCAAATGTTTGAAAAAAAAAAGTGCATTTTTGATCTGTTGTGAGAGTATATAGATGATCTGAGTGCTAAGAGTTTTAAAGTGTACAACTTTTTGTGAAAATTTTACCAAAACTAAAAACTGTAATACTGTTTTTACCTGTTTGTAATACCTTTTTGTCAGATCTTAATGCAACATTCAATAGGTATTCTCACAAACAATACAAAGAATGCATAAATTCGCTATTTTTAGGATGTCTGGACGCAATAACCCAGATGACGCATTCTGTCGTTATAATTCTGGTTTAGTAATTATACAGTAGTCAACATTTGAAGTGGATCAAAACCTTTCATCAAAGTTGCACTAAAACCTAAAACCAAAATGTGTTCTTTTGTTAGGACAACTTTGATGAATTTTTTTGATCCACTTCAAATGTTGACTACTGTATAGTATTTTGGCATTGTCATGGTAAATAAACTTGGCTTCTAAGACAGAGGTTACGGAGTCAAGCCCAAATGACTGTAGACTGATGATGTCATAAATCCTCTGTGCGCAGTTTCTTTCCATTCGTCATCTTAGTTTGTCTATGTCACACTCTTGTTGAAGGAAGGCACACGAAGACGAAGGTAATCCAAATAACATTTAATAGCAATCCAAGATGATGAAGATTCTTACAAAACACAGGGTAACACAAGCAGCATACACAACTATAATAACCGACCACCAAAGGAACTGAGGAGGGAACTTAAATACACAGACAAGAGAGGGATGACTTAATTAACATGACACAGGTGAACAGAATAAACTAATCAAGGGAACTAAGGAAAACTAGGTCAAGGAACAAAACTACACAGGAGAACAGGAAATGAAAACAACTCAAAGTCTATGTTAACAGAACATAACCGTGACAGTCTAGTTCAGGGGTGCCCAAACTCGGTCCTGGAGGGCCGGTGTCCTGCAGAGTTTAGCTCCAACTTGCCTCAACACACCTGCTTGGAAGTTTCTAGTATAACTAGTAAGAGCTTGATTAGCTGGTTCAGGTGCGTCTTATTGGGGATGAAGCTAAATTCTGCAGGACACCGGCCCTCCAGTACCGAGTTTGGGCATCCCTGGTCTAGACAGTCTATTTTTCTATCTTCTCTCTCTCTCTCTCTCTCTATATATATATATATATATATCGGAAGCAACAGAAGATACTTGCATGTTTCCTGGAAGACAAATTAAGTAAAATTTACCTTGATCTTCAATTTCAAAAAGTAACGGCTCTTAATGCATCATGTTGCCTTCTGGAGCATCAGTGAATCTTTGAACCTTTTTAATAGTTGTGTTTGAGTCCCTCAATTGTCCTCAGTGTGAAAAGATGGATCTCAAAATCATACGGTCACTGCTGGAAAGGGTTCAAATATGCAAAAGATGCTGGAAAACTGAAGAATCTGCAGGTTTTTCCGAGGATTTTTAAAGAGGATTTTTCTGAAGAACAGTCAACAGAACAGTGTTTGTCATCATTTACTCACTCATGTCATTCCAAAACTGTATGACTTTCCTTTTTCTGTGGAACTTAAAAGAGGTTCTGAGTTTTTTGTTTTTTTTTGCCCATTTAAAAACTCAACCCTTTTTATTTGGACCCTGGGATCACCATATTATACTGTTTGGATTTAATTGATGAGAACCTCTGTACGATGTTATTTATTTATTTATTGCTTGTTCTTGTTCTTTCTATTCTTACGCTCCAAATTAATGAATGTTGTTGATGGTTTTGTCTATTTGTGATTTGTAATTTGTGGAAAATCAGTAAATATATAGTTAAAAAAAAAATTAAACCCTATTGAATTAAAAAATGGAAAATTAGTAAATACTAAAATTATGTAGTGAACAGCACATTCCAGGGCCCGGTTTATGCTGGTGCCCCTCTCTGACCACAATAGTGAACCTCCCCAGGTTGGCAAAAGCAAAATCACTACAATTATATTTTAATTCATAAACATTTTGTTCATGATGTACCACACTCAATCTTGACGTTTTATTGTGATGCCCATTTTATTTGTATAGCACCTTCCACAATGCACATTGTTTCGCTTTACAGAAATTCATACTGTTATTGTTTATAATACCTTAATGCTTTATAGCCCACATAGCACATTAGATATCTTTAAACAGGAAGTTGATTGAAATTCATGCCATAATATTTTTATCTTTAGTCCCCTAGTGTGCAAGCTACTATGGCAAACCCTATTTGATATTGATAATGGAGAGAGAAAAATATTAATGTCAGTTAATAAGCTGTTACTATATTGATTGAACAGTAAAATAAAGGATAAAGTGTCTTTGAGGTCCATCCACAAATGAATGAAAAGATGCAGGTACATGTGATTCTTGTCAATGAAGATGAATTTTTACATTTTCATGAATATGATGAGACCAATGATCCACAATGCCTCAATATCTGGCTTAAGTTTAAAACAAAAAATTTTGTTTGAGTATTTACTGTTGACAAAATTTATTGACAAAAATTCATCATTTCTGAGCAGGAACTTGTGTGGTATTGCTGGAGAGATTAACTTCCTTCAAACGTCATTTTACTGGAATAAGTCACATTTGGTTTATGGCTTATTCAGTACATTCCCTTTGGCCAAAACGTGTAAAAAAAAAAAAATATATGAATTGAAAATGTATGGCATTTTTGGGAATCTCAGCAGAAATGTCTGAGGCCAGTTACAATGCAAAACCATCATTGGGGTCAAAATAAATAAAAATTTGAGAATTTATATACATCTCTTTATTAATTTAATATCTGGTAGGCCCTATTTAATTAGTTGATAATTCATCAGCCATATATCATGTTAGAGATGTTAGTGGAACAGAAGTTTAAATGTAATATTCTTTATTCTGCAACAGTGTTATACAGTAATGAATCTCACAAGGTTTACAATGAAATATTTTTGATGGCTCATGACTCCTTTATACGCAATTTAAGTCAAATAAAAACTAGACGTGATTCACTGAATGTTTAAATTCTAGAGCTGAGAAATGGACTTCCTCTTTTCGGAGGAAAGGTTTTTTCCCATTCAGTTTCTAGGTAGTGATGATTAAATCTGGACCGGTTTACTGTTTTGTTATTGCAAAATTTATTGTGCACTGCTTAGTTGCGTGGTCATCGTAAAAAGATGACTAATTCTGTCGTCTTATATAAAAACCTGAAAGGACTTCCATTCCATTCATTTTTTTCAGTCATTTAGGAGCGACTCTACATTAGATCCTGGTGGACAGAGGTAAAGTCATGTGCTCTTCTTTATATCAGTTCTATAGTTCTACAAATATATTAATATTATATTGAGATACAGTTATATACAACTATATCTCACACAAAATGTAACATTTAAATGGATAAAAAAATTACAGATTTTAAATTTGTTACAAACATTTGTACTATGTACTGAATATGTATCTTGTATGTTTTGTATATCACAATTCAATGAAAATATATACTTGACTGGTCTTTATTCTTTCAGAATTTCAGTTATCTACTGAAATATATACTATTAAATATTCTTCTTTTTTTCCAGAAGGGTTGATTGCACACATTATAAGAACCATGTTTCACACCCAAGGACAACATATGAGGAAACTCCTGCCATGTGTGTTGTTATCATTGGTGAGTCATTGGAAAGTGAGCAGTTTTCAAATTTCACAAATATGTGAATAATTATTCTGTTATTAATCACAGAACAGATATTTTGCTTTTGTTTTGAGGTTAAACCACAGTTTCAAGGGTTAGCCCAGTGATTACATCATCCAGTTAAGCAATACCAAGCCAGACTGCCTGAACTGTTAAACTTTTACCACAGGTCGTAGGCGTTGTGACGGGGCAGCGCAGCGTCAGCAGCAAAAGGGATTGTTCTACAGAGGAATACTGGAGCGACGGGCTCTGCTGTGACAAATGTGCTCCAGGTACAATGTCTGAAATGTTGAATCAATAGCATCGGAACAACAGTTTTCAGAGGAATAGACTGCTTAATCTCTTCATCTGTCATGTATTATTCTTCAGGGTATAAGTTGATAAGGAAATGCTCTAGTGTCATGGCATCGCAATGTGAGAAATGTTCGAAAGGGACATACCTAGACAAGATGAACTATTTCCCAAACTGCTTCAGATGCGAGAAATGCACCAAGCGGAGTAAGCATAATACAGTTTAATTTTCCTTTGACAACTACAGTAATTAACTTAAAATGTAATGTAGGTAGCATATAGGCTATATATCTTGCTGTGTTGATTTTGTTTAGATGTTCACTCTTTTTTCTTTGACTTCTCTGGCAGATGCGGTGGTGATTTCACCATGTACACCCCAAAATAACACAGTTTGTGAATGTCAGTCTGGATACTACAAAAAGTTCTTTGATAAAATTTCATGGGATTGTGTGCCCTTTAAAAGTACTGTTTCTGTAGCTATTAGAGGTCTGCTACCAGAACCGAGCCTGAAATACTCTCGGGTTTCGGGGCGGGTTCGGGGCGGGTTCGGGTCGGGATCGACTTTGTAGCTATTATAAAGTAAAATATGAAGTAGGCTACGCTGCTTTCATGGACACACTCCAAGGGCGTAGCAGACGGGGGGGGGGGG